ACGGTAAAGGTAAATAACCTAATGTATTGTGTAGTCGCGGAGAACCTAACGGGTAACCGGGGCTCCGGCTCGACGTGCAGGAGAAGGAACGGGGTGGTTTTTAGTCAGTAAGAGTCTGACACTCCCTTCCGCCTCACCCAGGCGGGAGCAGTCATTCGATGATTTTCCCCCGTTAAAAAAAAAATGTATTGTGTATCTGTTTAGAACTGAATCACTCTTATAAGTTTTTACTCAAATATTAAAAGTCTAAAGGCCAATATTTGTATTATCAGTAAGAGTCTGACATTCCCTCTCGCTTCGCCCAGGCGGGAGAAGACATTCGATGATTTTCCCTCCTTAAAAAGGCTAATATTTAATACTTTACCTAATTTAAGGGTAGAACTCGAAACCACAGGCCGGATCATACCAGCAACCACGGGGGCCACTTTACTTAGTATACCTATCTATAGTAAGAAACATATTCATTTGATTTGTTAATAAAAATGGATCTCCAAAACGTATGTACATACGATAACTGTCGAGCGACTGCAACGAATTTTCGGTACCTACCTATAATTATTTTTTAATCGTGTTCGTCTTCGTTAGGATTCGTTTGTATGAAACGAAGAAGCTGGAGTGGTCCGAATAAGTCAGGTTTTCCTTCCTGACGCTATAACTCCAGAACGCACGAACCGATTTCCACGGTTTTGCATTCGTTGGAAAGGTCTCGGACTCCGTGAGGTTTATAATATATATATATATATAAATTTTCTTTATCTTTTAATCACCAAACGAAATATTAGATACATAAAACGAAACCATCTGGTGGCGAAACAGAGTTCGCCGGGTTTGCTAGTTTGATATAAACAGCATAAATAAAGTATATAGTCAATCCGTATTCGCTATTATGTTGGCGTGTAAAAGAGAAAGACTCCCGGTCTCCTTTTCTTAATTTCAAATCCAATAATGCCAGGATTTGAACATCTGTTCGCAATGCCATTACCCACGCAATCGAATGAAACAATAAAACTCAAACGATCTCTTATATTGTCTATTTATTGGATTGTATGATCAACATAATATGTTTGCAGTAGGTACATACATAATTTACTTATGTGTAAGTAATATAATAGTAAGTAATATAGTAAGAAAACTGTTACTACCTATTAAATTTAAATTTAATCTTCCAACAAAATTGGTAGTGAAACGTCAAGTTAAAGAGGAACTTGAATTAATTCTAGTGTTGGAAAACTTAGGGCCGATTTTTCAATGCTCAGTTAAATTTTATCAGAGAAAATGACTTTGAATATTTGACAATTCTTCCATACTAATAACTGTCAAATGTCAATTTTATTCTCCAGTTGAGAATTAACTGATGATTGAAAAATCCGTCCTTAGAAAGTTAAATTGACAAGCTTTTGAAGTAAGACCTCGATTACACGTATGTACCTACTATTTTTTGTAGTCGCTAAAATGTTTAAACTTTGTTGATGGTCATATGTCATTGCAAAAAACCCGTTCGTGTGACAGAGGCCTTAAAAAACTTCTTAAAAATAAAATATAACTTATTTCCAAATTATATGTAGGTATCATGAATTGGGATCATGAAATTAAATAAGTTATTTTAACATTAGTTTTAGGTAAATCTGTAATATAATACACGATTAACAGTTTCGATCTTCCGATGAGTTAACAGTACCTACCTATCTGCTTACTTATGGCACTTATTTTAATTATTATTTACATTGAAATATATTAACAATGAATCCCTTTTTCCCTTGGTCACGGCAACACACGTGAATGGCTGGACTGAATTCACTAATTATTTTTTTTTGTATTTGTTATTATTAGAAGAAGGTTGTTAAAACAGAAAAAGTCCTACAAATCCTACGGGAACGGGAGAAAACGGGATTGCGTACGAAGTCGCGGGCAGAAGCTAGTTAAAAAAAAACAGAAACCGAGAGAAGCCATTATACTCATTACGTTACATTTTTACAAAATTAAATGAATATTATATGAATTTTATTTTTGTTGCTCATATATTCTGCTTTTAATGTATCTAGTAGACCAGATATATTGTTGTGATTTTACATGATTAAATTTTAATAGACACGAGATTATTATGAAAGACAATGCACTCTATTTACTTTTAGGCACAGTCCTAGCAAATAATATAACGTTTTTATACTGTATTTATTCCCCAAAATGCACAGTGGAAAAAAAATAATTTGAGTTGAACCACAAAATCACAACAAAGTTTTACAATCGCTGGTCTATTTGCTTGACATGTCGGATCACAATAATAGTTGAGAATCACTGGCCTAAACAAAACAAAAAACGACTTCCATATATCTTACATTAACCATTAACTAATAAGCTCTTAATTATAAAAAACATATTTAAATTGTTGAACACAATTTTTATTTGCATTATTATAACTTATGTACCTAAGGCAGTCCATTATGTTTATACACTTTGGCATAATAGCGTGATGGTCACGAAGGGTAGAACGACCGTAGACCTTACTTTTGATGCTGAAGACCACATCGAAGACGGGTTGGAGCTGTCCTCCGGTCACGAACTTGGTGAGAAATCTGGAAAGGTCATATTAATTAAACACATAACATAACATAGCAGGTGCACACAGAAGTAGCACCCACTTTTCACTATTTATGTTATGAGTCCCATGTAATAGGGGCAGCCTATTGTCATATACCGGGCACATTTCCAGACTCCGTGCTACTACTAAGATTTTTTTTTAAAACCCAGTAATACTTTGCCCGACCCGGGAATCGGAGCTGAGACCCCTTGCCCGGTAGTCCGCACTTGCGGCCACTCAGCCAACGAGGCATTCAATACATTTGCATCAAATGTCTAATTACTATTTGTGCTGTGTTTTATGTTAGTGCAAACGTGGTTGATTGGCATGATAGTTGTTGTAGTAGTAAGTACAGTGTAAAGACATTATATTAATCGTGATTAGAAAAGGTTTTAAAAAAAAATCTCAACAGTAGCACGGAGTCTGGGACTGTGTATATGGCAGTAGGTAGGCTCACCCTCTATTACATGGGACTCATAACATAAATAGTGAAAAGTGGGTGTTACATTGTACAGTGGCATAATGTGCACCTCTGCCTACCCCTTCGGGGTAAAAGGCGTGATGTTATATATATGATTAGAAAAGTATATAAAATTTACTTTCACTTAAAAAACACTTACGCCCAAATACTGAAACGCTCCTCAATTTAAAGTAGTAGGTACGTAAATATCGTGCCATCTTTGTCTTTTACAAAGAATTAGTAGTGACAGAACCACAAAAAGACAGAACTATACATAACCGCGATTTAAAACTGAGTAACTTTTGAGTATTCGGGCGTTATGTAATTTAATTTTTAATTTTAAAATTCATTTTACATCTGAATTTTCTGCTATAAAAATCAGTAGCATTTTGTAATTAGGATCATAACCACCCAAATTGGATTCTTCACTGTCTCCCCTTAGGAAACACAGGCGAGATGTTACGATGATAACGACGTACTTCAATTAAGTATTGGACATAAAACTCAAACAAATAAAAGCGAAAAATGAAAAACGTAAGGAGGCAGAACAAATCGATTCCTCCACGAGCCTTTGTGAAAAACCTTTGACAATATGATATAAAGGAGAATCAAAAACCCTTGAACATTTTCATAACGTAAGAATATTCAGCCGATCGTGAATGAGAACGAAGTTACAAGTTTACGACAGTAATTTTCCATGGGGGCGGCAGGTAGCCTAAGTTTGCGTGATAAATCAATTTGGCCTTTATTAAAGAAGACTGGAAGACCCTTAAATACGGAGTTATGTGTGTATTTAACTAGGTGCTAACATACGTCATCAACATTTTTTTTTTTTTGAAGGGACCGACGGAGACCTATCTTCTTCTTTGTCGTAAGACTGAGTATGAGTATGAGAAGTAGGAGGAGTCTAAATATGTGCCCGGTATATGGCAATAGGCTCACCCCCTATTACATGGGACTCGTAAAATAAATAATGAAAAGTGGGTGTTACATTGTACAGTGGCATTAAGTGCCGTAACGTGCACCTCTGCCTATCCCTTCGGGGACAAAAGGCGTGATGTTATGTTATGTTTTTTTTTTGTTGTTCGTAAGACTGGATACATAATTATATTATTATGTTTGCTACTGTAGCAGCGCGATAGTCGCCGCGGCACAGGTCGCGAAATGCTGCTTATGAATATGAGCCTCTAGCATGGCTTGAAACTAGCCGAGTTCCTCGTCAAATAATTACGTGAGTAAGCCGAAAACATAATAATTTATTTAGTATGTCTCACGAAAGTTATAATATAAAAGACTTGATACATAATATATTAGCTATTAGAACAACAATTTGTTGATCTCACAAAGAGTTGTTCCCTGCGAGCATCGAGAGTCACTGGGCAAACTGAGCGGTCAAACATTATTACAAATATTATAGGCCGGATACCTGACACCGCGCAGCACACGACGCCGACACAGCACAATAGTCGTGATAATGAGTGTTTTAATTTATTATTTACATTATGTATTTATAGTACTTTTTAAGTTAAAATTGTAGTAGATATTATAGTATTATTGTATTTTAATATGGGCCTTCGTTGCCTGATATAAATAAATAAATATAATTTTAAAAATTTGAATTAACAATTATTGTTGCTTATAATTGGCTTTTTGTTGCTATGTTATTTTTATTATTTTATTAATACATTTTTTTAATGGAACATTTCAGTAAGCGAGCTGACGAATCACCTGATGGTAAGCAATCGGTGCCGCCCATGGACACTGGAAACACCAGAGGTGTTACAAGTGTATTACCGGCCTTTTGGGAAATAGGAATTAAGGGATTATTATTGGGAATTCGGAGATTGGAGACTTTTGTTATTACTTATTTATATTACTTTGATTATTGTTATTACTCATCTGTATTAGCTGTTGGTTCTCCATAATACCATATTTTTCAAATAGGTATTCAAATAGTCGTACTTATATGACGATTAGGTACATACCCAAGTTCTGCATTTGATGCTGGCTCAGCACTACTACGATGCGATCCTCGTCCGGGAAGAGGTCGGGATCATGGTCCTTCACTTCTAATTCGGCATCTGTTCAGAAACGGGAAGAAGTTTATTTTAATTCAAATATCATTATTATGTCTTGGATATTTTTGATCCATTTCAAGTATCAAACAATATTGTACCTACCAACTTGTAAGTTTAAAATCGATATTTCAATACCTATTAATGTGCACTAAAGAAAGATCGTTAAGCCTATCAATACAAAGGTAAAACAAATAGCAGATATACAGTTGGATTCCTGATTGTATCCTCAGAGACAGAAGGGGGCTTCGGCAATTTTAAATAGGTAAGTATACAAACTGAAATATTTCATTATACTTAATCCTCAAGTAGGAGTATGGAACAAATAATGTGGGTGTCTCAGTTATTTCCAACTTGTACCACGACTTTGCCTTCCCACAAAAGAGGATTATCCGACCTTTCAATCATATAAATACCCTTTTCAATCATCAGAATGGAAATCTCTTGATCATTTTGTGTAGGTTAAACACAAAAATTTTCAAATCCCTTCGGCATTAGCGGCTATATTTAAACTTATTGTAGAATTTCGCCAACATTGATGTGTGGTGTGGTGGTCAACCGAAAATTTGAGTTCGTTGAATGTCCAAAAATAGATGTCATGTAGGTGGCAATTCCTTTTTTAAATTTTGGTTTAAATAACGAAGCGATACAATTTTGTCTTTGGACTGGCAGTATAGTCGACAAGATCGTTTTGAAGACTCGTTTGCCAGAGAAGAGAAAAAAAATATGTTGTCCTTGCAGATTTTTAGCGAATACTGAGCACTCATTTAATGCAGGTATCTGTAGATTCTGTAGTAATGACTTCGAGATTTCCCGTGTACCTAGTTTCTACGTTTTCTTTTCTTATCTTTAAAACAATTCCATTACAATTAGTCTAGTAATTTTCAGGTAAATGGTAAAAATACCTTCAGTCTTAGTCCGGTTAGCAGTTAGTTATAAAAAAAGTTAGCATAAAATATAATTAAATACCTACCTATAATAATTCTCTCACTATTTTCGAAGTAAAATCCTTGTTATACTAGAGAGACAGCTGTGAGTGAACTAAAGATCGCGTCATCGCGTCGACATATTGAGATATTGCAAAATTACGAAGCGGCTCGCGCCATATTGGATACATTTTATTAAATTAATACTTTAGTACACATTTTCTCTCTTTGTTTATGAATTTATTTGAAAAATATCGATTTCATTTATCGACATTTTCGGAAAATAGACCTATGTATTTAATACTATGGTGAAAATATAATTAAAATTCTTTCTCAGTGAAGATTATTACCTATTACATTGTTGGAGTTTGCGCCAATTTTTATCTATAATATGCGAATTTTAATGGAATGGCAGCATTTTATATGGGATGATAGGGTATGGACCCTAACTCCTTAATCTCCCTAACACTCCAAAGACCGGCAATGCACTTGTAACTCTTTTGTTGTTGCGGGTCTCATTGGGCCGCGCCGATTGCTTATCATCAGGTGATCCGTACTTTCGACAACACATTCTATCTTACACCGGGTATTAAATAATTGTACCTAATCCGTTCTTCATAAATAAAAATATAAAACTTCACTACCCATATAAATATAATTTTACGTTTTTATTTCCAAATGGATACTCACACGAGTGCACCGCCGTCGTGGTATCTTCTAGAACAGTCGTTAACTCAGTTGATGTCGATGTAGTGGTTGCTAAAGCTACAAAACAGTTTTATTATACATCAGAACGTGGAGAGACACATTAAAAGTTTTTTAAATATGGTAAGTAGGTATCTGTATATGTAGAGGTATATTATCACATTTTTAATTATAACCTCAGGCTTCGTAAGAGTCTCATATGATGAATGAATTAGATTTTGATCTTTATTCAAAACTAACATATTTTAAAATGTCAATAAGGATAGTTTTCTACGACATCCTAAGCTATGAGGTAATTTTTAAGCCTCAAATAGGATTCTCGAAGAAGATTAGAAGTGTGCCTGGATCGGATTATTCCTAGAAGCTTGTGTTCTATAGAACTTAGTGGTCATTGCAACCTTATTGGATTAAAAGCCAAGTGTTAAGTAATGGAAAATTAGTACTTTAGTCTTAAACAATAAATACTATTCTCCCTTGTAAAATACAAACTAAAGTTGTTGAGATGAAACCTGTATGTTCCAAAGTACGCCGTCTCATATTCTTGGATCAACTGGCAGAAAAATATGTATTTAGGACTCTGAAAACGGGTATTAGAGCAATATACGTGGCAAGCTCCGACACTATTTGAAATTTGATATTAGTTCTTCTTTTCATATAAGTTTTTCTTTTCATATTTTCTAAAGCATTTTGTATCGATTTATATTCATGCTCAGGTAGGTACATTATTTTTTATTACATATCACTATTATTATCATCGCGTCTTTTATTCCATAAATTTTAAACCCACTCTTCGGATCCTGCTTCTTTTTTTTTAAGGAGGACATTCATCGAATTACTTTTCCCACCTGGGTGAGGCGAAGTCAAAGTCAAAGCATTTATTTCAATTAAACCATAGTTTGGTACTTTTGAAACGTCAACAAATACAAAATAAATAATAGTCTGTCAAGGAGTGTCAGATTCTTACTGACTAAAAACCACCCCGTTTCTACTCCTGCACTTCGAGCCGGAGCCCCGGCAACCACTTAGTCCGCGGCTCCTTTGGATCCGGATAAAACGCCATAAGTTACCACTCGGAGTAAGAGTTGAAACGAGTTTGTTTTAAGTCAGTAACGACCGAATACTGAAAGGCTACTCAAATTTAAGTTGTTCTGAAATATCGTGCCATCTCTGTCATTTTATAAAGAACTTGTAGTGACAGAACTATACTAAAGCGCGACTAATAATTAAGTGACGTTTGAGTATTTGGAAATATGAGTCTGACATTCTCTCACACACTCAAGACGGGTGGAGACTTTTGCTGATTTACCCCCCCAAAAAAAAGGATGCTGCCAGCTGTTTTTTTTAATGAGATAAGCCCGCCACAACCTCCCAAAACCGCTGCAACTCCTGTAAGCCAGGATCTACAGTAGATACAACCATGAAAACACCAGAACACTGAAGTCCGGCGCGTCCCAGGGACATGAGTAACTGTCTTGGTTCCCGCACCGAAGTGAATCAGAAGATATTATAAGAGGAGAAGAAGAAAAAAAACTATAGTGATTGTACTGCCACATGTTATTGTCATGCATTATCTTTCTTAAATCTTGTATTACCACACTACAATAGTACTTACTGTAAACAGTGACGTCATCTCTTGTGGATCCCATAGAGTTTTCAGCGTAGCAGTAGTAGGAACCAATGTCTTCTCGAGACATGTTTCTCACTCGAAGTACAGCTGTGTGCTTGTACCCTTGTGACGTTATACTCATCTGGTGTTTCGATCCTGTTTAAAAAGAAATATTATTTTAAACTAATGAAATAACTTTTTGAAGGAATGGTGATGGCACAGCATGGCCTCACTGAATACCGACGTTATGTGTTCACCGTGTCAGTGAGGTTTCAGGACTTCCCTCCACTTCAAATCCAAAACCTTTAAAAGGCCAAGGCCAGCGGCTCGTCACATCTTTGGTCTTATGGGTGTACGGACACTCAAGTGGCCCAGAATGCTTTTAACCAAAACTTGTCCTGACAATAATAAAAGTAAAATATAATTACCTACCGAATGTTTTATCATACGATAAACTAAAAAATACGTGTCTAATATTTTTTAATTACCTAACTTACGGACTAATTATATTTTAAATTTTCATACCCTGTCATCATCCCAATTGTAAACAATCATATTAAGTTACAAAGCATAAAAGGTACAGAGATAAAATCATAAGCTGTAACTTTATATTACTTTTCGATTTGATAATATTCGAAAATAAAAAGAACGATACAATGTAGGTAATAACCACCCTTTCTCGTTTTATGTTTGACATTACACTAACTAGCTGTTACCCGCGACTTCGTTCGCGAAATTATTCATATAGTATTTCTTGTTAATTTATACTTTTTTGACGCGACAACGTATTGATTGGCGAGGCATATTTGAGAACTATAAAACGGAACGTTTATTGTCTACTCGGCGACTATGGTTTTGTCTGTCAGTGTCATTAAAATGAATTTTGCGTATATATATATGTTGTCGACTCGAAATCGATATTTTTTTTATGTTTTGTTATTCAGGTAATGTTTCGATCGAGTCTACCGTACCCCTTGACGAAATTATTATTATAGACAGAAGATATGCAAAAGAAGTTATACCTATCTCATAAGAAGAATAAAAATTGGGTAGATACCCAATGTACCCACCTATATTAAAGTATCCTAATAGAGATCTATTGGGTTACTTTCATTAATGTACCCTATCTGAATCTAAAAATTGCCCTGTAAATATTTAGGTTCTAACATTTTGACTATAAATTGTATTTGATTATTGAAATAAAAAGTACCTACAATAATAAGTAGCGTTGGAACTGGTACTCACGTAGGTATTTTTAGTATACTTATTAGTGAGCCTAGTTCCGAGGATAATTTTGCGGATAGACAGAATAGATGAAATGGTTTATAATATAAAGGTTTAGGACCTAATATTGAAAGTTTAAAACTGATTTAGTTCTGATATTCTCAGTTTTCACAACAACACATGCATAATTAACATCACGCCTTTTATCTCCGAAGGGGTAGGCAGAGGTGCACATTATGCCACTGTACAATGTAACACCCACTTTTCACTATTTATGTTAAGGTTCCCATGTAATAAGGGGTGAGCCTATTGCCATATACCAGACCCAATTCCAGAGGCCGTGCTTCTGCTGAGATTTTTAAAAACCCAGTAATATTTTGCCCGACCCGGGAATCAAACCCGAGACCCCTTGCCCCGCAGTCGCACTTGCGACCACTCGGCCAACGAGGCACTCTCAGTTTTCAAGAACTCAAAATATAGATGTCAATAAATATTATTGTGTTTATCTGCATCAAAGTACAGAATTACAAATCATGAAAGTGAAAATATCAGTTTTAAATACAAAATACCTATAACATGTGAAGAAATACTCACCATTATAAAGTTTGTTGAAGTCTATATGTGTCCAATACACGTTAGGTGTAGGATTCGCTTCGATCTTGCACTTCAGTAGCATCGTGTCGCCCACGTAGACGCCAAGCATTTTCTGTGTAATCCTGGCCGTTGGTTTGCCTGGCAGAAGTATCATTTCATAATATATGAGACTAGAAATATTACAGAAGCAACTGTCGTGTGACATACTAAATTAACTAAAAATCGCGGGTTACTCACGTGAATATACTGAGAAAAGTTTTACTAGTTTCGAACCACAGAGGGGTTCTACCTCATGAGCAGCGTGTGCGGTCGCGGCGATGTCGCGCAACCTACTCTCTCTGTAGTAGTAGAGCTTTTCTCAGTATATTCACGTGAGTAACTCGTAATTTTTAGCAAAATTACAGAAGTAGCTAAGATTATTGTACTAATTTTTTGTCCCACACTAGGATTTTATCCCTATGTTGTGGGTGCGTTTACAAACATACAATTTCACATACAAATAACACCCAGACCCGGAACAACAATCTACGGATCACACAAAGAGTTGCTCCGTGCGAGAATCTACACCACGACACGTTGCACGGCAGCCGGTTGCCCAGCCACAGCTTCATCCGTGCAGTATTAGACAAGACTATTAAAATTATGGATACTATTGACCTCTTTTACATGAGGATTAGCAGGTGAGTTGGTGATCGCCGTTTAAAAGGTTCAGGTTTTAAAAGTGCGGTATTGTTCTGTATCTGCCAAATGTGTACCTATAGTCCCTTTGTCGGATCTTGTCTACAACCGCAAGAAGAGTAAGTACTACTATTAAAGCACAAAAGAGCAAAAGAACAAGAGCTTAAAAAACAGAAAATTAATTGTACCCACTCTTAACCTTGCTTGAATGCACCGATATGAGACACAATAGAAAATGTGTATCGCGTGGATCCACGTTTAGACACACAACGGGTTAATAAATAAAAAAAACAATTTTTTTCAATTATTCTGCTCTGCTCAATCTCGAAAATCCCGAAAATCTTGATTCGCGACCAAGGTCTCTATCCGAATCTTGACAAGGATCTTGACATGACCAATCCTGATTCAGGAAAAGACGCCAAAATCTTGAATAGTCAATCTTGGTCCAAGATTGCACTCCCTAGTATTAACACGCATCATTATATTTAACATGACTTACCTTGTCAGTTACTTTACCCTATTAACATGTAAGTACTACATAACATTCAAGTTTGAAAACACAACACATGAGAAACTTCGATTACAGCGCCGTTTTACAAGGGAACAAGTTTCAAAATTAGAAAGTTTCCTCACATTTCATTCTAATTGAAATACCTAGTCAAAGCTTTGATTAATGGACCTTTCCAGTTAGAACAAACATTTACATTCTTTGTATGATGGAGTTTAACTATTCAAAAAATGCATGTACCTACCTATTTACAAATACCTAAAAGTTAATTTTGTCACGGATTATGCTAGACTAGCTCGTCCCGTGCTTTCGGTCTCTTTGTCTGTGTTTGAGACACCGAGAAACTGGCAAGAGTTGGTGAGCTAACTGCTAGCTAAGTTACCCGCGAAGAATGGAGATTATGACAAAGCTATGTGGAGGAGGCTCATAGTCAGAGTAGTCCGTAAAGTTTTTTTTTATGGCATAAGCCGGTAAACCAGCAGACGGATCATCTGATGGTAAGCAATCGGCGTCGCTCATGGACACCTGGAACACCAGAGGCGTTACGACAAGTGCGTCACCGGCTTTTTGAGCTCTCACCGGATTAGGAGTTTGAGGATCGTTGTGGATTCAGGGATTGGGGAGATTGGGGAAGGGCAAGGTAATTGGGCCTCCGGTAACCTCACTCACACGAAGAGACTCGAGAGTCCGTCAGAGTAGTAGTAGCGGACTGTTACAGGACAATTAACAGATATGGTATAGGTCCTATTAACAAAAATTGGTAATAAGTTATGTATGTATATCTTATCTCTTATAGACTATTTACTTTACAAGAAAGTAAATAGAACTTTACTCGAGAACTTAGATAACCACTTCCATACATTAGTGTCAGCACGATACTGTCATGAATAGCCAGCCGAGGCTTTTTGGTAATCGACTGGTTAGCCACAACCACGTGTGTAGCGCTATCCACTTTATTTACGGAATTGACTTTGCACACATACATACATATAGGCTATTTTACTATCTACTACACCAGGAATTTTAGAAAATTGGGCGCAATTTCAAGTAATTAGCTAAATAGAAACAACATAGATAAATGCATTGATAAAATTTTGCATGAATACATTCATGGCTGTAAATTATTATTGAGGTTAGTATTTTATTTTGCTTTTTACTAATGGAATCTTCATGTACATTTGCAAAAGGCTTAACTATTAATATTGATGACAATGATTGTGTAAATCTATAATTCTTTTGAGCAAAACTATTTTTATAGATAACTGCCACAACTACAATCAATTACGGAATAAAGTAAGTACGGAGAAAGCACACACATTTTGTCGCTCGTAAAATACTAAAAGGATGTGCAAAATATAATATTTAGATCTCAAACGCTCCAGACAGGTACAACATAATATTTCACTCGGAAACTAGATTCCGCTCGTGAATGGAAACATGTTCATTGTATATTCTGGTCCGTGAGAGATTGCATATCATGGAGTATTAATAGTCACTTACATAGTACGTGCAGAAGGATCCTTTTGCTGACAGAAGGTGGGACTCCATTCGATGCTATGCAGAGGAATGCACCATTCATGTCTCGCGACACTGATGTCAGATTCAGCCAAGGTCCGTTCCATTTTGTGACTGCAAAAATGTGTTTGGCTCCCAAAGTGTTGTGTGACGATGCGGACGGACGACAATACTACACATTTATTATTGGCGAAGTGCAGGAGGAAACTATAAGTCGTGCAACTTTACTCTTGTTCCGCTTAGAAAATTATTTTTAAAAATTTTGTCCAAATTGTTCTTTCTATGTGTGGATTGTTGACGCATTTTTGATACTGGAAATATTGTCTGGTATAGTCACCATAGAGAAATATCTTCACACATTATTTGATTTTATAAAGAATATTAACTAAAACACCTTTCTCGATACTAAAGATGAAAAAGAAGTAAGGTTATCTATTTCCTTACCATTATGATTAAGCTTTATGATTTATGGTTGATTAAATAATTCTCAACATATATTCATTCTCTTCTTTCAGGTCGAACCACCTCCTCTTACCTACCAGATTCCGTTCCAATGTTGAAGGCAGCAGAGTCCTCTCTTCTCCACAAAATGACTGGTTGAGGAGTTCCCGAAGCAGCGCAGTGAAGAGTCACATTGTCTCCTTCCCAAACTAAGACCTCACCACTGCTGTCGGAGTCCACAATATCTGGTGGTACTGGACATGACAAAATAAGAAGACCTAGGTCAAAATAAAAAAGCTTCAAAGGCGCCTTTGGAAGATTACATCACGCCATTAATATAAAAAGGTCAATTACGTCTAAAAGATAACATCTGATACTCAAATACCACATCACATTTAAATGTATCTACATATTCAACATAGTTCATTCCTGGAACACAGGCACACATAGCTATTTTCGGTAGTACTTTGCTTTATTCAGTAAGGATTACTCCCTATTACTAGGGTGTCCATTGCCAAAAACCGTTCACTATTTCTAACTCGGCACCTAGTAGCAATTGGGTACTTTAATTAATCAAAATCAATAATTATTTCGACTGTTCAATACAATAAAACAATACAAAAAAAAGAATCACACTTTCATTGTTGATTTTTTTTATGACCAACTTAATTTTAGTATTTTTCCAACAAATTGTTAAGAAATAAGTATGCTGTTTGACATCAAAAAATTCATAGACATCTGTCGTTTTTGACAGTTAAATATTAAATTTGACTACTTGGCAAGTACTTAATTGCTGATAATTTCGGATATCGAAAAACCCAATACTCAATACTTTGACTGAGACGACAGTCTTAATCCTAGAACCAGTAACCAGTCACAATTACTTACTACTAGTCAATATTGACGTTGATACACTTATTTCAAGGGGACGTTTCCGAGAAGCAAATGTATTTATATTAAGTACTAGCTTCGCAATCCCGTTTTCTTCCATTCCTGTAGGATTTTCAATACTCTTTTCTGCCATAAGAACCTTCACATGATAATAATAAACACAATAAAGTCCTACACTAACCGGGGACTGTCCTTGGGTGCATTTCCATAGTGCATACAGGGATAGTCGCCGGTTTGTGTCTCCATTACATTTAGATTAAAGTTGTCTAAAGGGCCTCTGCGCAGTTGGCTTCGGCCCCTCGTACGCCTCCCAAATGACCGGGGACCCTGTGGTCCCGTGAATGGTAAAGTAAAAACACAATAAAAAAAATCAGTCGAATCGGTCTAGCAGTTCTCAAGTTAGGCGTGACAACGGGAAACGGGTTTCATTTTTATATACATAGATAGGTATTACTCAAGCGAAAAAACCAGTAAATATGGCAGACAACGTATACCCGTTGTATCCTTCCCAAACATACCTATCTTTTTGCTTTGTACACGACACGACGGCGACGTTTCATCAAAATTTCTAGGTAAACGTGCAAGAAAGGCTATGAAATTAGAGCAATTTCTGCTGGCAATTTTATAGAGCTGATCTCGACAGCTTTTTGTTGTTTCAAGATTGGTCCTACATTATTTATCTCAATTTTATTTGAAAAAATATTCTCTAATATAATCTGGAAATTGGTAAGTTACATTATGGCCTCAAATACGTCGCTATTCAGTAAAAAGAAAACCTCCCAAAACTCTGACAAAAAGAAATCGTATATTATTATGTTTTCGGCTTACTCACGTAATTATTTGACGAGGAACTCGACTAGTTTCAAGCCATACTAGAGGCTCATATTCATGAGCAGGATTTCGCGAACCGCGACGCGGCGACTGTCGCGCTGCTATTTAGTATGTCTCACGAAAGTTATAATACAAAAAGAGAAATCGTAATTACAAATTTAATCGTTTTTGTATTCGTGTAATTCATGCAACATCAGCTTTGAGCAGTTAATTACAACTATTATTTACATTAAAGGAACCTTTAACACCTTACTTTTATCAAAATAAAACTTTCTTGGCGTTTTTCTGGAGCATTTCTTTTACACCTTGTTATTAATTATGTGTTGATAGTAAGTAATTATTGTTACACCTCAATGTATTACTGAGAATATCTAATATGACGAGTAATATATCCAATACTGCTTTACGACAATACTTTTTAGTAAATTATTGTCATTTTCCAGTTCCAATTAGTTTTCAATAACAATTACTTAAGTCTAGTTAGATAGGCCATTATGTTAAATACATATAAAACAAAAGCACGTCGAACATTTGAATAGCGACGAGAGACTAAAGAGTAATAATAATAATTATCTGGTGCATTGTCAATTCTTTTGTTTGGGACATAATAGCGAATAAAGGCACTACGTTTTCATCAGCGGAGGCGAGTATTAAGAAGATGCTTACTGTCAAGTTAAGCAAAAAAAAACTATATAATACGAGGGAATTAAATAGTTAATGGTATTTAGCAGGTTATCCAAAATTTTGCCTTCTTCATGCTTTAGTTACTGGGTCGAGTGTGGTTAAGTGTTACTTAACAAGTTTATAAGTTACTTAGAAACGGTATTCGTATAGTGAAATTCCTTATTGAATTTAACAACAATATTATTAGACGACATGCTTCATCGTAGATCCGCATCATCGCTTACTACCAGGCGATATAGAGGTCAAACGTCGGCCCATCAAGTGTACCTATATAAAAAAAATTAGAACTATCGTCAGTGATAATATGCCTTCTTGTTATATGCTAGTTGTCTTCTTTCCGCTCCGTTTATCAGTAAAAACGCAGCCTTAACCGCTTAGCCCGTGTGCAGTAATTAATGAAACTCAAAATAATAAACGTCAGGTGCCGACGCGCAGCGACCATAATTCAAAGTTATTGTTCTTTTGAAAGCAACCAACCGAATACAAGCCGATAGTCTCGCTTTTATTAGTTTAGGATGAGTAAAATTCCTTTCTGATTTATTAAAAAAACTAAAATTCCAGAAATAGATAAAATAATGAAATATCATAACAATGATTTGCGAGTACGAGTTCCGAAGCCTTATAATTCATATATGTTTCGACCTTGGAATAAGAAGGAAAACCAAAGTACCATTTTCCATGTCGTAAAATCATTAACTGAACGGAAAGTGTAGCCATGTGGTGTTTGGCAATAGCCTCCCTATTACAATGTCGTATTATAAGCATTCCTCCGCCTCCATTTGGAGAATATCTAATTTCCTAATATATAAAAAGGTACAATTGTTTAAAAAGGTATGACCGAAACTTACCTGAAACATGCAGATGATGAGTCTGTGTGATCATAGGCTCTGTGTTGATCTGGCACATGTAGTATCCTCCGTCTGCAGGTCTGACGTCACGTAGTGTCAGGGACCAGCTCTGGTCTCTTCTGGAGACAGCCACTCTGTGGTTCTTGGTGATCACATGATGGCCTATTGTGAGGATTGTTTGGGTATCTACTCGGAGCCAGGCCACCTATGAAATGAGAAAGGATTTGGGAATAAGAATGGTATTTGCATTAGATTTTTTGTACCATTAAGGGAAAAGTTTGATATTATATTGTCAGGCTTTTTGTAAAAGTTTTACAAAGTAATTATTACTGCTCATATTATGTTATTAAGTATGGATACTTAATAACATAATATGAGCAGGAGGATCAAATCTAAGAAGGTTTGCTCTCCTATCCCATAAAGATTATTTTAATTATCATTCCTCTGGACGTTTGCAACAATAGAGGTATGGTTCGCGTTGGTACTCTTAAATTAACCGAACCCCAGGCTTAAGTTAATCAAACCTTATTATTGGAATTTCTGATTTTGAAATTCTTGGTAGTTCAGAATTAAGATTAATTTAGTAATAAATGGCACGTAATCTGGAATTCCGAATAACAAAGGCTCGCTTCTACCAAAAGTGAATGTTCGAAAATATTTACTTCTATCTTCAACCTTTTCTGCGAAAAGAAAATAATATGTTCAGATGTGATAATATTTAAAATACGTACCTACATATATTTAAATAAAACTTTATTGATATTTTTATATGATTGAAAGTATATTTTCTGTCTGCAAAAAGCAAAAAAACTTACGTATTAAAGGCCACTGCTTAAAAACGCGCACTCATAACGAGCATTACCTTTGAAGCATTCTAAATATAGAATAATATTCAATCGTCGTTTTCCGAGAAATTTCTCCAGCGAGGAATTACAAATAAGTTTTATTTACAGAAGAAAATCGATCTGAACTAAGGTTCAATAAATCTAATAAAGGGAATGAAGACTAACATTATTTTTGGAGCTTGTGGTTGCTTCTATCAAGTTGATTTTGTAAGTAATAGAATGCTTGGTAACATTTTGAGACATCAACATTTAAGAGCCGATGAATACCTGGACAATGTACTTTTGTGTTTGTTAGACGACCTGATAAAGGTCGCAACCGTTCTAGAAAGTCATTGGGTAAGGCCTACGTTCTGTAGTAAATGCCATGTGGCTGACATGATGATTATAATGCTGCTTACTAAAAACCTTCAATGACTTCAATTTTTAAATGACCTACCTAGGCGATTGTCAGCGATCTAACTTGTTTGATTAGCAAGAATTTCTGGCAGAATTATTCAAAATTCTGCCTAGAACCCTGAAAGTTTGAAATACCGAAAATATCCTCATCTATTATTAATTAGTCAAAAACAATGATTTCGCTTCCGTCTTCTTATGAAAGGTTCGTTGATCCATCTTCAAGGAAGGAATCTAATACTTTCTTTATTTATATTAGAATCAACATCCAATTACTATATTCCAAGAATTATGGAGCCTCATTATTATTTTACCACCATTACTACATGACATGGATACGTTTTCTTGTATTTATTAATTGCTTAACCTTTATTACCTGACACGTTCTTAATTTATTAAAGTTTGTTATTAGTCACTGGAGATTATTTCTACTTTTTTATTACTCCCTTTTTATCTTTTTTTGTGGGGGGAAATCATACAGTGACTTCTCCAGCCTTGGGTTAGGTTTCGTTTCGTTTAGGTGAGATCGGTGCCATAACATTAGTCACAACATAATGTTACTAAGAATTTATAAATCACAGACCTTAATTGGCTAGTTTCCTAGGTTTAAAATAAATTGTTTTAATTTTTTAATGCAATAATTAATTAAAAAATAATCACACTTTCATCCATTGATTTGACAATTTACCTTCTTTAGGATTTTTCACGCTAATTTTAAGAGTAATAATTATGCTATTTGACGCAAAAATATGATGCCGTCATAATTAATAGAAAAGTATCGTTTTTGAAATTTCAATAAAAGTATTGAATTTGACTACTTACCTATCAACTACCGTATTATGTGCACAGTCGCTTATGTCATCCGGTTTTTTTTTTAAATTTTTCAGATTTAATATCCAAACTAGTTCATACGAAAAGTGTCTCTAAATATTGGAAATCTTCTCATTGTAGGTAGTATTTTGTGACCTTGACACCAATGACGTAGATTTTATATGGACCATAAAACATTTTCACAAATACTCTCCTGGTTTACGATTGCATATTTAAAGATGATCCTTTCCAAGCAGACGTTACTAGTTGAATGGTAACGCATTACCGCGGGAAATGAGTAATGGTTACATTAGCCTAACTAATGGCGCGGCCTGACCGAATGTTCTCGAAGATGTAATATTGGAACATCAACGGTATCTCCTGCTTTCCTGTCCATTTGATCGTATGGACAGGTTTTCAGGTTTTGTCATGTCGATACTTAATCCGTCCGTCGTCCGTCGTATTCCAATGAATATGATTTTTATTGATTTTTAAAGTAATATCACTATATAGTATAAAACAAAGTCGCTATCCGCCGTCTGTCTGTCCATATGTATGCTTAGATATTTAAAACTACGCAACGGATTTTGATGCGATTATTTAATGCATAGAGTGATTCTTAAGGAAGGTTTATATGTATAATACATGCATATTACACTCGTGCGAAGCCGGGGCGGGTCGTTAGTATGGCAATAAAAAGATCAAACACAAATAAAGCATAATAGATACTTTCATAAGTTTAAGGTACCTACATTTTTAAACCATGTGCTTAGTACAGAGAGAGGGATTGTCACATTACTGATTAAAAACCACCACGGCGTGGTTTTAGCAGGAGCAGGAGTAAAAACGGACCTACTCCTGCTCTTGGAGCCAACCCTACTGGGCCCCATCTGTAGTAAGCTTATTTTATTTAATTACCTTTAAACATGAGTGTTTATTAGTACCACCCAAAAAAGACACGGACTTAATCCAATATGGAGAACGTGCCAATACCACACAACACAAATAAACAGCGAATTATTCAGAACATAAATTCAATAAATAACAATGACGTAAACTAAGTATTAAAAATCGTGAAAATAGTCTATGTTCCATATACCGATAACTACGTGTGGTACATGCTTCGGTACGAATGCTGGAAAGGCCGGAGTGATACCAGGACCTCACAGAAAACCGACGTGAAACAACGCTTGCGTATGAGTGAGGTTACCGGAGGCCCAATTACGCCCCTCCCCAATCCTTAAATTCCTAATCCCCAAAAGACTGGTAAAGCACTTGTAACATCTCTGGTGTATCGGGCGTCCATGGGCGGCGCCGATTGCTTACCATAGGGTGATTCATCTGCTCGTTTACCGGCTTATTCAAGTTGCATAATACTAACCAATAGCAAACTCATACTCAAATTATTAATATTATCTATTACAAGTAAAATACATAGTAAATTATTGAATTACCTTATAACTCTGTAAATTCTCCACCTTACAAGTGAGTGTTGCGTCTCTGCCCAACACGACTGTGACGTTCGATTCCTGCCCGACGAATGTTGGTCCATCTGCAAATAAATAGACCACGTGATTCACCGAAGCCAATAGGACGTATCTTATAGTTTCGTTAGAAGTTTTTTTATTTTTCCCCCCCTTAAAAAAGGACAGCAATTTGACAAACCGAATGCTTACACAAAAATAACATCTGCGGTATACCTCTACTGTACATTTCCTTGCAATCACCTTTCATTTTCTGTCAAATTTCACTATTGCCATAAAGTCGAAAATCCAATGAATAAATTTGATTGGAGTACGTTGATGCCTACTGGCCATAGAGCTTTATATTTTCAATGGTGCATCAACTCAATCTCATCTTCGATTATACCTACGTTACTTACCGTAGACCAAGGGGGCACATCAAAATTTCTCTTGTAGGTAAATTAATCTTATGCAAGCTGACACCTAATAAGTAATAGGTACCATGTACCTTCCTCCAGTCACAAAGTCTAGGCTCAGCATTCCTGATTGCCTAAGGTCCGACAATATAGGTCTAATCTGCCACTTCGCTAGTGTCTATGGTTAACTAACAACAGGCAATGCACTAGTGACGTTTGAACGCTTCAAGAGAAACTGAGCCTGCAGATAAGCGCTTGTGTCATCTTTGTGACGGCTTGTTTAGCCTAGTGACTGGGAGTTTAGAACCTGAATGTGTCACAGATACAGAGGCAAGAAAATAACTATAGATTCAGTACAAAGACTGGAAAGGATCATGGACAAACATGTATGGGAAACGTACCTACCGACCAATAACAACCAGACGTATGTGCATGTTAGAAAGCTCTTTTCATCATAACATCACGCCTTTTATCCCCGAAGAGGCAGAGGCAGAGGTGCACATTATGCCACTGTACAATGTAACACCCACTTTTCATTATTTATGTTATGACTATGAGTCCCATGTAATAGGGGGTGAGCCTATTGCCATATACCGGGCACAATTCCAGACTCCGTGCTACTACTGCGAATTAAAATCCCACCAATACTTTGCCCGACACGGGAATCGAACCCGAGACCCCTTGCTCGGCAGTCGCACTTGCGACCACTCGGCTAACGAGGCAGTCTTTTGATGACTGTCATTTGTTATTATGGGAGCTAGTTTCAATTCGTTGTGGGAAAATTGTAATCCTTACTAATATTATAAATCGAAAAGTGAGTTTGTTTGTTTGTTCCACTTTCACGCCGTAACTACTAAACCGATTGCTTTGAATTTTTAAAAGACGTAAAGTTAGAAGTTCGGATTAAATAATAAGGTACTTTTTATCCCGGAAAAATGGATATTCCCGAGGGAAAACAAAATTATTGGTATAGATGGCGCTGTGTGTATTGGTATATGTCACATAGGCTACTTTTTCACATAGGGTTTCTTAAATGGAACAATAGTTACATACGTACATTCTGCCCGTCATCCTTTGTTAAATGGAATTATATAAGTATTTTTAATGAAACAATTATGTCTTACAAATAAGTAAGACATATGTCTTACAAATAAGTAAGACATATGTCTTACAAATGATAGGTACTAGACAAAACTGACAAACGTTGAAGAAAAACATTGTGAGGAAACCTGAGCTTATAATTTCTAATTATAAGTCTGTAATCGCCAACCCGCATTGAGCAAGTGGGGTGATTAATGCTCAAACCTTTTCCGTGTGAGAAGAGGCTTTGCTCAGCAGTGGGCATTTATAGGCTGTTGATGATGATGATGATGATCATTTGTAACCATCGTCTGTAGCCAATCAATTTTTAGATAACTAGCAGTTCCTGAGATTGGCGCGTTCAAATAAACAAACTCTTCAGTTTTATATATTAGTACTAGCTTCTGCCAGTAGCTTCGCCCGCGATACCGTGCGATAAATTAAATCAAATCACTTTTATTTGTAAATACGCCTATTTGTTATTCCAGACTATACAATCTTTCCTTGTTCTGAATTTCATCCCGACCCCTTCAGCCATTTTGACGTGAAGAAGCAACAAACTATGGCATTTTTTATGTTAGGTATATTTTTTTATTCTGTTGAATTTATTATTACTTTTAATTTCTAATAACATATGGAAAGGAATTTATGTTATTATTTATAATTATTTAAGGAATTGGCGTCGCCCATGGACACCTGGAACCCAAAGGAGTTACAAGTGCGTTACCGGCGTTTTGCGGATTAGGAATTTGAAGATTGTTGAGGTTTCAGGGATTGTGGAGATTCGAAAGTTGGACCTCCCCGATAACCTCACTTCACTCCACGATGAAACAAAACGCAAGCGTTGTTTCACGTCGGTTTTCTATGAGACCGTGGTATCACTCCGGTCGGGCTCGACCGGAGTGATACGAATCTATATAGCGAATTCGGCACGATTGGGACGGCTCTCCCACACTTAAGGTAGGTATTTGGGTATATGTAACTAACTTGCTGATTGTACTAATCAGCTTTTAGTCTTAAGTCTAAGTGATTGTTGTACGTTACTTTGATGTTATCCTGAGATTCTGTGGATAAGTCGTATTAGTAAGATTAGGAGTGAACTGACAGAGAATTTAGGCATTAATCCTCAGTCAGATACCGAAGTATTGAGTGGCGAAGCTTAGGTAATTACTTTAACAATAGAAACAAATCGGACTTTTGACCTACATCTGAAAAATAAAAATGAAAATCTTGTTTTGTTGGACTTGGTATGTAATTAATTAATCAAATGTAAGCTAATAAAATAGCTATATTAGCAAGTCTGACGTTGCAAACGAGGTAATTCATTATCATTCCTTTGCTGTACTGCTGGCAATTATACAGACTGTCATATAGGTAGGTGTTTCAAGTGGATACACACATACATGTACAGAAACCTTTACAAAGAAATTGACTTATCCGTTTGTTTGATAGTTTAGAATCTAAAGCTTTCACTTAGAATGGAAAGCGAATGATAAGTGGATGAGATGCGGTAAAAAGAGCCTAGTTAAATATTTAATTATTGTATTACTTATGAATGGATCAGAGTGTGATACGAGTTGAAAACTGAACTGAAAACCGAAGTCTTCTAGGTATAATAGGAAATGACTGATTTGGTGTTAGTGTTACAAATGTAGAACAAGTATCAAATAGTGACGTAGCGTGTCATGGCGGGGCCCCGTATAAAATTTCTTACAAGATTTTTTTGAGTGTGGAACGTAATATAGAATCACGTTTGTACGACACTACTGGATGCAGAAAGCATGGCTCATAGAAATGTCTGTTCCCAGAAAGCACGTTTCGCCGAAAACTTTATTGTTAGAAAATATTGTTCGTAGATATCTCGTTCCATAGAAAGCACTAGCCATAGAAATCTTTATTCCTAGACAGCTCGTTTTGCCGAAACCTTTGTTGGTAGAAAATAGTATTCGTAGATATCTCGTTCCATAGAAAGCACTGTTGATAGATAATTCTGTTCATAGATAGCATTTGTTCACATAAACATCGTCTATAGAAACAGCTTATTCCGGAAACCTTGATTCACAGAAAGCAAAGGTAACTATGAATATGCATATGAACAAAATGGAAATAAAGGCATTTGTTTGTTTATCCTAAATAAAAAAAAATTGTCATATGATTAAATCTGGTTTGTTTTTTTTTGTCTCTGAGAAAAATCCGTAATAAAACACGACGCTCATACTATAATACTATTTTAATAAAATAAAATATACAGTCTTCAGATAATAAGCTGCACTGTCAGTTTCACGTAGGTTAGGTGATATTCTGATAGAAATAACAACTAAAAATGAAAACAAATATGCAACTTAGCATTTCGTCCCATTGGAAGAATAAAGTGTTATTATCACATATGTGTCAAAATTCATATTATGGTAAATTCTTCATCCTTATAACGTAAACTATCGATTAATACTATTTTTATATATTTTTATCCATTAATTCAAAAGATTCAATGCTCGAAATCTTAAAATTGCTATAAAATGGTTAAATTTAATTAAAAGGAAGGTACAAAAATTAAAGGAAGGTAATCGTAGAAGACATGATCACTAGCGTTTGTGACCCTGTGAACTCATTTGCATATAGCCAATCACATTATTTAAGAAAAAACACGACGAAATGATATCTAGATGGTAGTATTTTGTCCGAATGTACAAATTTCAACAGAGTTGCACTCCGGAATTTTAACGCTGAGTTCCTATCCCGTTGGATTTCAAAAATACAACAATTATAATTAATTATTTGTTTTCATTTTTAGTTGTTATTTCTATCAGAATATCACCTAACCTACGTGAAACTGACAGTGCAGCTTATTATCTGAAGACTGTATATTTTATTTTATTAAAATTGTATTATAGTATGAGCGTCGTGTTTTATTACGGATTTTTCTCAGAGACAAAAAAACAAACCAGATTTAATCATATGACAATTTTTTTTTATTTAGGATAAACAAACAAATGCCTTTATTTCCATTTTGTTCATATGCATATTCATAGTTACCTTTGCTTTCTGTGAATCAAGGTTTCCGGAATAAGCTGTTTCTATAGACGATGTTTATGTGAAAAATGCTATCTATGAACAGAATTATCTATCAACAGTGCTTTCTATGGAACGAGATATCTACGAATAGTATTTTCTACCAACAAAGGTTTCGGCAAAACGAGCTGTCTAGGAATAAAGATTTCTATGGCTAGTGCTTTCTATGGAACGAGATATCTACGAACAATATTTTCTAACAATAAAGTTTTCGGCGAAACGTGCTTTCTGGGAATAGACATTTCTATGAGCCATGCTTTCTGCATCCAGTAGTGTCGTACAAACGTGATTCTATATTACGTTCCACACTCATTTTTTTTGTATAAAATACCTACTAATAATGTTTTGTGTAGTCTGTAGTCCAGGTGCCTCGTATAATTAATACGGCAGATGCAACGCTAGCTACACCCTGGTAACAAGGCATTTTTGTTCTCAAATATTTTTCACGCAAGCGTCTCCGTAGGCGCGGGCTATAACACAATAATACCAAGACGAATAACATAGCTACTTACGTATGTACAACA